GTACGGCGAGAGTTAAATTAGTTTCAAGAAATGTCATTTACACTCACTGGAAAATGTTGAATATTTTTAGTGACTAACTTTCGAGCGCAAAGAGTTAGCGCGTAATTTGAAATCTATTAAACCATTATTTTCGAATTGTCTGTTTAACATTATTTGTCTGCAACAGTAGACTTCTTTTATTAACTTGTGGGCGATGTAGTTATTTCAAATAAACAATCAAGTAGAAATATAAAACGAGTTTTTTCATTTACAATCTCGTTTCCTACGAAAGCCATTTTAAAAATGTGTCAACCTTATTTAACTAAACGATAGAAGAATTCAAACTCATTTTTTCAAACAAGATTTCAAATAAAATATTCTTTATTTTCGTTACTTATTTTCATATACAAAATATTCCTTTGCCAAACATACTAAATATTATACATAAGTACCGACAAACATTCAAGCTTGATTTTCTCAAAAGCGAAAACCCAAATAAAACCACTTAAATATTAAGAAATAAACATATTTTATATGTTTGACTTTTCTATTTAGAATCACATCTATTCCATCTGAATTATAAATTACGCCCAGTACGTTCCAAATATCTTCCAACATATTCAGCTTCGTAAAATATTCTCCGAATCGATATTTGCTCATTAACTCACGATTCCCAAATCGGATCTAGCTCTTTGTCCCCAAAATCGGTCACGGGACATCAGAGTTCCTCGTACGAAAGGTTTCCGATGCTATTGATCCTTGCACAATCGAGGAGAAGAAGATCGTGGCAAATGTATTTTCACGAGTAACCCTCAAAGAATTAGCTCTTCTCGGATCACTTCCTCGCGCGGCGACTTTTATACGCGTGGGATAAAAGCTTTGACAAAAATACAAGCACCTCGAAGGAATAGGGGCATTGATCGCGCGAAGAAAGTCGGCACAAAGGGCCCGCGCCGCGTCTTTCTGGGTGAACTGACCTCGATGATGTTCCATCAAACACGGACAAAGCGGAAAGGCCGCAAATTGGTCGCACCGGCCGACCGGCCTGCCGGGCTGTCATTCGGGCAAATCAGCGCTGCGAGCTTGCGGTCGTCAAATCAATATTTGCAGCTCGCCACCCCCGCACGCTGGTCAGGTTGTTGTGCAAAGTCAGACGTGCTGGAATTAGATAAGAAGGAGCGAGGCGGCGGGAACGAAAAGGCAAGAGGATAGGTCAGATAGCGGCTTTGGGACTCCTTATGGTTGATCGCCCTGGAAATCGTGCGGTAAACTGAATTAACCCACTGCCCTCCCGCGGCTGTGTGTTATCAATAACTTTCCATCGTGTCAAACATGTCGTTTAGGGTAAGGTTGATTGTGAACATTATTCCATACCGACGACGATAATAAAAAGCCTTTCGTTTTAGCGATTTCGCTAGTACAATAATACTTGTATTTATATTGGATTCAGTTCTTCAAAAGTTCGCCACGAATCCCACTCAGTATTACAAGCCATAGGGTTAACTGCTAGCCGTATGATATCTTTTACATCTGTACTCGATAAAATATATACAAAGAATAAACAAATAAGGACGAAAAATAAATACCATTTAGATTTGCCGAATTCGACTGAAAATTTTCATCACGAGTCCTGATATTGTAGGAGAAGCTGTTAATACATACATATCGCAAAATTCATTACAATAAATATACTTCTGCACCAATGGCACCTACCTCTTCCACAATTTCTCCGCTGCACGAACACTCCCGTCCACCTGTGCCGTATTCAAAGAAACCCGATACATTCCCTACCGGTTCCCAAGCAAACCGTAATAGCGTACACGTATAGCTCGCCGTAACTAGTTCGGAAATAACCAAGCCGAGTATGAATGGACGTTCGAACGGGAAGTGTTGGTATTTAACATAAACGGCTCGTTTCAAGGGGTGCAGGAGGATTGGTGGCCGTGGAAGAGCATTGAAAGCCGGTGAAACAGTCTCGACACATGAACATAGGAAGATATAGGTGTTCGTTGATTGAGAGTAATCTGTTTTGTTAATTGCAAGGTCCGCAGAGTTCGATACCTGCGGTTGCGTCGCGCTGCGTTCAGCGTTACAAGCCGGGGCCCACGTCTCTCCTTCGGTTCCGCGCACGCGAGCAGCTGGCTACGGCCCCGACCACATCCAAGTTCCCTTATGGGGGTTGGTAGGAGCGACGGGGTGGCGGAGGTTCGGTGACGGGATGGGTTTGAGGGTCGGTTAACCGACTAATTGCAGTACTGACGCGTCCGCACGGACTATTTGCGCAATTGCAATCATATCCACCGTCCTTGTGTCACCTATCACGGGCATAATAGGCGTGGTCGAAGTTTGCTGCGAACAGCCACGCGCGAGCCGTGTTAATTGACCGTCAAAAACGGGGTTCAGCGTTTTTTCTGCCGGCCATATCATTTTTCAAAAGCCAACCGACCGCCGCCGGCGCGTTGTGTCACCATTGTGCGGACTCTTGACGGGGGTAGACATTGCCAGCCCCCATTCGTTTTTTATTAAATGAATTTCAACAACGCATGGAATGAAACTGCATTTCGCACGCATGACGTTCACTTGGTTCCGTACTTTATTTTTTTAATTGCCGGGCTTTTCGCGCTTTGTTATGTGCGTATACGATTCTATGCCTTTGTTTTTGTTTAGTAGTTAAAGTTAACGTCAACTGCTCGTGTGGATTACTGCCAGCGGTGATATGCCTTGTGTTTGTTATATGCAGCTGCACGAGTGTTTATCTACCATTATTGACGGTTTTGTTTGTGTTATTTATGTTGTGTGTTCACCTATATTTTTGTATGTATATTCATACTTCTATTTGTGCTTATGTATGTATTTATGCACTGAATACTCGATTCCATTGAAATAAAATCTCTAACAAAGGTTAGTAAAGATTTTATTTTTAGTGGAATGAGTTCATTGATGAAGGAATTATAAAATAATCGAGTAGCTTAGATTGAGTAAATATAAATTTTTATCAAAGTCTGCTTTATGCATGTATATTCTTTTATTAATTTTATTATATTCATTGAATTTAGTAGATACGTACTTTTTTAATGTATACGCTGTCGATCTTATACTATATCACTATGAAAATTAACTCTGTAAAACGCTGACGAATGTCTCATAATACAAGTCACGATAAAAAGAATAACAATGAAATTGAAAATGTATTCATCTCAAATATAGCTGCACAGCACGTATAATGAAATATTGCGAACGATTGGACACAGGTTTTTCGACGGTATAAAACTAGGATAGTTGTGACTGCATGTCAGTCTAAGGAACAAAGAATTCCGATAACATTAATCAACATAGCCTTTAACGAAGAATAATGATCCGAAAAGAGAATCCATTCGAGGTCCAAGAGGTCCGATATTCAATATGAAGACCTGGATTTCTTCTCCAATTATATCTTCCAATTTATTGCTCATCCCAATCAGTAACTACTTCCTTCATCGGACAGAGCTTGTGATTGAGAAACGGTATCACGGCCGGGACTTTTCTTCCCTTTTCTTCTGTTTTTATCAATGGCAAGAAGTTTCGTTCCGCGAACGTCCTAGTTTTCGCAAGCTTTTTTTCTCCTTTAGCTTAAGAGATAATACGAAAATAATCATCGTCGCTAACGAGAAAACTTCATGACACCTCCCAGAACTCGATAATATAAATAACTTAGTGCCAGGTGAAATAATGCATCGTGAATAAAAAGTTTCATTCATCTTGTTTTATGTCTTCTTGTTTCTGTATGTCTCGATGAATGAGAATATTTTAACGAAAGCAACGAATATGAATCTGTCAAACGTTATGAAACATTTTTCAAAAACTTGTAAAAAATCGTAATGAGTTTTGTATTATTAATTATAACTTATCGAAAACATTATTAAGCGTTTTTTGAAACCATAAAAGAACATTTTTCTAAGTCCTATCATTTCTAGAATGTAAATAATTTTCAACATTAGTGATTAACGTCGTTAACAAAAAAGGATTCAATTTATTAACATTAGATATGATCTGCTCATTTGTTTCCCGACGAGTAATCATCTAAAATTAAAGGAGTTTCATAAATGCACTTATAACTTTCGAAGAAGAAATTTCAATAAGTACAAAATTGTTATTTGAATACTTCATAATATTCTATTAAAGTTGTAAAAAAATGAAGAAAATATTATAAAGCCATTGCTCTCTGTAAAATAAATCAATATGGGTACTTATTCTTCGAGAGATCACAAACTGTAAGGAACCCTTAAATCCTTACTTTATGAATTTGTTGATATTTATATTGACAAAAATGATTTCTGCGTAAAAACATATTCCATGTTAGCTGTACATGTATATTTATTTTCAAGATCGAATATTTATATTAATAAAATCATAAAAATGCCTTTGATCATTATGAATTGTATAATGAATCAAATATTGAATTTAATAATAAATACTCATACCTAAATTCAATTCAATTTTCGTCATAATTCAGATATCATTTCGTAAGGAATTAATAAAACAATTGTTATGTATCTTCTAAAATCATTATTAAGTTTATTAAGTTTGATTCAAAATCTCCATCATGCATCACAGTTTAGCAACGGAGCAATGAAATTAGAAAAAATGTTTCACCTCAGACGATTTAATTTTATTCGCCACCCTGGCACAAATTCTAACACGAATTTCCACATGGCTTATTTTATTACTTTTCTAATTTCTTAGATGTAGAACCAATCTCTACTATTCCATAAACACAGTATATCCTTTCACGCGAATTGTTCTGCGCGGAATGCATTTATCATGTAATAACAGAATTGAGGGCATTCACCTCAGTGTATTTACATTTGTCGGATACGCGAATCCGTCTCGAACGACTCCCTGTTCTTAATGAATGGTAGACACTGTCGGAAATGTTCATGGAAATCCGCCTAACGACTGTGTCTCTTATCGACAAGCTAATTTAGCATCCGTCAAACGCGTCAGTTAAAATACCAGTCATATTAGAAAGTCAATGCACTCACCGGTCGTGTACATGGCGACACCTTTCAGGGTCACTGGCTCGAGAATGGCAGGATCGCTCCTCCCCTTCGCATTAATCGCGTACAAAAAAAGTCGATAACTTCTTCCCGTGGCTAGACCCGCGACCTCGAAACTCGGTCCGTTCGAGTTGACAGGCACGGTTTTGTTCAGCAAAATCGGCCCGCCGTCTTCATCGGCGACGACCTCCAGTTGATAGCTGAAAATCGGAAGACCGCCGTCGTAACCTTCCAAGCAACGCACCAGCAGCCCGGTGCCAGATTTCGCGCTGAGTTCTTCCGCGTCCAATGGCGCTGACATCTCTGTCACACTACAGTTGTGGAGAGAGTATGGCCGACCCGCCGCTATTACCTGCGAAATCGAACAGTTACATTTAAATATCGTATTAATCTTTAACACGCTGACTGCCATGAAAATTTCGACCGCTTTGTAATACTTATTCTTTTAGAATAGAGGCGAATTGTGTTAGAAATACTTATTAATGAATTGTTATTACAGTACTCATATTACACAATTATTAAATTACTTAATTAGGAAATATTTTTATTCGACATAAATTTTCTTGTTGTAATTGTTCGAGAACAATCTGGAAGCTCCGGACAACGGTGACCACTATGGCAGCCAACGCGTTGACAGTCGACAATTTTCTATTTTAGCAACAAACACTTTAGCAACCGTCTGAGAAGAGAAATATAACCATAACTTTTGTTATTAACTTTAATTAAATTCTTTTGATAAATTTCATTGAAAATTATACTTTACAAAAGCGAGAAAGGAGTTTAATAAATCGCGAATATCCTCAGTTCAAGATTGACTAAATAACAAAAGGAAAATAAACAAAATAAATGACAATGCGTTATTAAGAGAAAAGTGGGAGATCTCCCCATTCGGTTGGCTAAGTGTTAACTCTTTATAAACGAGACTGTCTTAAATGTCTGTCATTTCTTTTCATACAAAATTGAATTATGCATCGAAGTCTTAAGTACTAAAACCAAAAACCACACGTCAATCTCTCGTTAGTTGAACAATTAAGATATTCACTTGCAGTTTCCAATATTAGATATGGAAGCTTGAAGTCTCCATTACGCCGACATTCGACTGCAGAGTTGACACTCTATTTACGGAACGGGCCACTTTGACTCATATTGAACTTTATAAACATTATTTGGTAAGCGTTTGAATGGATTTTGATTGATGCAATTACGCGAATGTGTTTCCTAATAATAGATTTTTTAACATCTAGTTTCCTAAATCCAAATGAATGAACATCATACAACATGAATAGAAAAATAATCATTGTAGCTTCGAATTTCTCAGTGTATTATCACAATAATTTTTTTTACACGATAAAGTAATAGGGTATTAACATTAGATGATCAATGGTAGAAATATTATTAATAAAATGAAATTTTATTTCAAATATTTCTCTAACACGTGTGTTACGATGTTAAGCTACTATTTTTTTTATTTTTTTTAAATATGCCAGTGCGTGAAACATTCTGCTATTCAGAATTTAACTAATAGTTAGTACTTGTATACTTATTTGCGTAAATTCCAGCATGAGTGTGGTCGTTGCTGTACGTAACTGCGCTTAGATTGAATACATCAATGTAGCTATCACGAGGTATTGTGTTGACTGAATTAATTGATGAAGCTTGATTCATAGGATTGATTGAGGCTGATACGTGTCATTACTGAAACACTTATTAGCATAAATGCGGGGTCTACTGACAGAGAAGGGGATTAGGCAGATTTAACGCTTATCATCAATAAGTTAGTTTATTCCTGATTGGTTGGAAAATGCTTAAGACTTGCCAGCTATAAGGTGTAAAGGGTTAAAATTTGTTAGATTTATATGAAGAATGTAATTCTTTTAAAAAATTATGTTATTATATGAAATTGTTCATTGTTAATTACTATCATCGATTGAAGCATCGATTTAGAAGAATTATTTTTGCACACAATTCGGATAAATGATTGTTGTACTAGAAACAATAAAAATGGCTATAGATCAATTGATTCATAGCTAGCTTTATTTTAAAATGGAAGGATTCTTTTTTATATTGAATTCAGCTACATATTTCTTTGGAGATTAGTTGCTGAACACTACGCTTCCAGAGATATCCATTTTTATGGTATTCAACCATTTCAATACCCTTCTTTTCAATTGCGATGTTGTCTGAATATGTAACAAACAGTCTTTACTTTGGTGAATTTGTTCAGTGTATTATAAATGCACGTATATTGTTGTACGGAAACAAATAAATATGTGCAGTGTATTGTGAAGTACTAAATTGATTTAATCTGTACCATAAATCTACAACACTGTTTGAAATAAAAACACAAAATAAAAATAACTACAAAAGATGTTCGATTGAAGAAATGATTAGTAATAACGATCTGGTTGCTTCAAGCAACAAACTTCTCAATTAGTAAAAGTGGTGCACGTTTAAAGAATTATTGGTTAAAATTTATCAATATTTTAGCAATTCTATTTGCATTAGTGTAAATATTTTATCATATTTGCATTTCACATACACTAATTGATTAGTGAAAATTGCTGTATGTTAGTAAGATCATTTATGTAAATATGTATCGAAAGAGAATATTGCCACCTTTTGAGCACAGTTTAAAAAACATTATATACAGAAAAATCTGTTCTCTATTATCTACAATTTATTTGAAAAGTTTAAGATTAATGACCACTGATAAAGTTAAAGGCGAAATGAAATAAGTAATTTTATAAAATCGTATTTTACGTTATGTTTCGTTGGTATAATAACTTAATTATCTTAAAAATTGTATACTTCACTTTATTTCAAACAAAACGCAAAATACAAAAGAAACGTAATCGTACAACAAGAAATGTGGGGAAGCTACAATATTAAGGAATACAAGCATGCTTTAAACGTTAATCAACGAAACAGTTAACAACTCATGAAGATGAAAATTGAAGAGGAAAATAAATATCAAAATCAGGAAAGCAGGATACATATCAGCGTTAAAGAATAACACATATAGCAAAGAAACACTACAAAAGCAAATAAAATATTAGGTTCGTTAAATGTTGAATTTTTTAAAGAAATTCAAAAACTAGTTTCATGTCGTTAAATGATACTGTATTGTAACAGAAGTACTGCGTTAAAAAGAAAAATGACAAGTTTTCTAATGTATTCTGTCATTTTTCCGGGCTTGTAGTGTAATTTTGTTTCCTTGCATTACTAACAATACCGTTCCCGCGCCACGACAGCTGAAGTCACATATCAAGTTTTATTTCCCTCGGTTCGTTCGTTCAGAAAATATCACTCAAGTTTAGTCACTCACACCGGTACACAAGCATCACGGTGTAAATGGTGAAAACGTGTTGATGCCCGGAACGTGTTTGTCAGTCGAGAACTCAGAGTTGTATTTTTACATCTTCCCTCAAATAAAAGTTACGCACAGGAAGCGGAATAGTAAATACACGGATCAAAATGTATAGAATACAGATCGCGAAACGTTAATGAAGAAAACTTTTATCATTATTTAAATGGCTTTCCTAAAATTATAATGCTACTCTTACAAAATGCTTAAACAACAACCATATATTCTTTTTGTATAACAGCATAGAAATTAATTGTTTGGGAATAATTTTTCGTTAGTACGTAATAAACTAATTGTTGCAGAAGACAAGTGAAGTAAGTATTCATGTAATCATTGTCTGGTTTAATTGTATCTTAAGTAAAATATTTCTGTAGGAAATTTATACAGTTTGAATATTATTTCATTTATATATTTTTGTAATTAATACCTCTAGCTATGAAATGTAAATGTGCATTTAACCAAATAGCGAATAAAGGAAATTCTTCAATCCGTGTGACAGTTATTATCAATATGATTTTCATTAATACTAATAATGCTAATCGAAACGTATTATTCACACATATTCCTAATTGTAAATTGTAATTTATTTTGTTTAAATACGCTTTCGAATGTAATGATGTAATTATTTTGTGATAGCCATGTTCTGCTTTTATATAAAAATTGAAGAAGATAATGATTCCTACAATATTTTATTTCGAATTATTTTTAAATAATGCAATAAAATAACTCAATTACAGTGGGCTAATTGCAAGTTACGAAACAATCCTTGATAATAAAAAAATTAACTTCACACAAAAAATTTACTTCCTAACCAAATTTTAGATACTGCCATTCAGTATTTGACACACATATAAATGTCATCTAATTATTCTCTACATTCACATAGTTTGCATTCCAAATCCTAATTACTTGAAATAGCATTTTTAAACTCATTGTCAGTCTAATTTCCAACAGTTCATACAAAGAAAATACGAAAGTTAATTGAACGTCTCAAAATAGTAATGGTCCAACTCCTATTTCCGAGTTTTCGAGAACAAATTTTTGGGTGTATTATTCTTGACTCAATTAAACACTAATATCACAATTACTAATAGGAATAATCAGTAGTACATCACATCATTAATAAAATTGCAATATTAATATCTAATTAATGCAATAACATTTCAGAAACGCTTTTATTCCCAGGAACTCAGAAAAAATATTTACACCAGTATTATTTCAAACCGCTCAATTATGAAAATAAGAAAACATAAATCGATCAAATAACGTAATGAGAGTGTTTCTTCGGACAATAGTGAACATGATTAGACATGAAAATTGAAAGAATTGCAAGCGAAGAGAGTAGCGTGGTAACTGATGCGAATTAAAGGGAGCGCGTTTACCTGAAACAGGCACGGTGCTCGTTGCTTGCCAACCTGGTTGCTCGCCCAGCACGCCACTGTGCCGTAGTCCATTTCCGTTGCAGGCGTATAGTTTAGCTTGGATCCGTGGAATTGTTGGTACTCTTTCAGGCTTTCGGCAACGGACGGTGTCCCGAGCGCTGGCACGTGAGAGTAACGAGAATGAGGAACCTCCACCAGCTCGCCGGAATTATTGAATGTCCAGTGGAAAGTCAACGGTGCTGGATGACTCTCCACGGAACACACCAACGATACGGTTTCCTGCTTCAGGGCGCCGACAACCACCTCGCTTTTACCTTCCTTGCACACAGGGGTGTCTGTAATCATTGTATTCCATCCTGTCAGAATGCTTTAAACATCTTGTGACGAAATTTATTGATAAATTAGGGATTTCTTTCTATTAGAAATCAATTTAATAGGTGTATTTTATCTGGAATAATACTGTGAATATGTTTTTTAATAATAATATATTTTTCATTTGTAGTGGTAGCAACTTTTTGAAGAAATTTATTGTTAGATTCAAGATTTCTTTTTACTAGAAATCAATTTATTAGGTACATTTTATTTAAAATAAAACTGTGAATGTGTTTTTTGTTAACATCTTTCTTATTCCTAGAGACAGTTTTTCCAGGAAATTCGTTGATCTATTAAAGATTTCTTTTTAATAGAAACCAATTTAATTTATTCTATACCATCCTTATGTATAGAGGTTTAGGATTTCTTTTTACTAAAGATCGGTCTAGTATCTTTTATATAGAATGAAAGTATCTATTTTTTTTCTTGATAATAATTCTTGAATTGTAGAGGTATGTGCAAAGGAACAGAAAAAATTAAAAAATATTTATGTAAGGTATGGGATGTTAAGACAATGAGAATAAGTAATTAAAATATTTAGCTATAAATTGTAATTAAAGTCAGAAATTAGTAATTAACATTCAACGTTTTTAATTAGAAATTATATTAACAAGTTTATTAACAATTAATGATTCTAGTTAATTATGATAAGATTAATAATGATTAAATTAATGATAATTTTTTACAATTTATGTTTGAGAATCTTTGTATATGTAACACGCGTATATTTGGATAGTGTACACTGAAACGTGTCTGACCATATTCCGCTATTTCTACTAGCAATGATCACAAATGGAACAGAAGACAAACTCTAGCAACTGAACTGGATTACAATTTTGTTTCAAACTAATCTCGGAGGAAAATTCTATAGAACTTCATTTGCAAAATTCTATGATGCCATTTACTTAATTAGTTTGATCTCTTAAATGATGTAAATAAGCAGAAGCTGGCTCCCTCTACTCATTTTACACAGATTTTAGATTTGATAGCTCGTAGAAAAACGATAAAAGAAAAGATTTAAAATTAAATATATGTAAAAGGATTTCTTTTGCATTTTTTGTTTATTTTTATTTGTATACAGAAGAGGTTAGTCTCTCTATTTAAGAATTTTCTTCTATCGTATAACTATGGGCTGCTTATATATATATATACATATTTATTTAACGAAAGGCTAAAAACAGTATTATTCATGTAATAATTACACCATCTTCATTATACTCATTATCTTTTTCTTATACTACACAACACCTTTTATTTGAATAAAATAACAGAATCTCTTTAAAATTTTCAATTGCTATGTTAAACTAAAAGGTATTAATTTATTTAATATAACACCGCTTTATAATATCGTATCATATTCGTGGTGAAGGTTAAAATTGAACAAACATAAGTATTACCCAATCGTTCTGAATTCAAATAAAATATTAGCTTCCTGCTATCAATTATTATATTTTGTTGTAGATCAAACATAGATATATAATATGCCCATAATTTTTCTTTTCTTCCCATGAATTATTAACGAGAAAGTAGTTGCATCATAGTTGAGTAAGAAATCATAGAGTTCCATCGCTGCGTGAAGTCGAACTAAATTTCAGTTCAGATTAAAATTAGTTCCGTAAACGGAAGCAGCGGGAGGATCACAATTTCTGCGGGAAGTGAACGAAGGGAAGGTGGTTGCGCCGGAGAAATTGGCTTAATACTCGAATGCGATCTGGCGTCATAAAACGGAAGAAGAAGGTTGACACCGTTCAACGCGCGGTACGTTCTATCGATCGTCTAATAGGAAATTCTCCTGACAGCGGTATTTGCTGTAGGCCACGGCGCACGGAAATTCCAAATGGCACGGGAGATGATTTACGGCGGAAGCAAGGGATCACGGAACAGCTTCGTTTCAATCTGATGCGTTTGATGCACTACCGAATTAATTACTAATACGAGAAGTCAGCGAAACGATGGCCCACGTCGGCAGACATCGACGTATCGCCCGGGATCGAGTCTGTCGATTGGAAAATTCGGTATCTGTCAGAACACCCATTAGTAAGTTCGCTATACTGGATGGTGGATGTTAATTAGCAGCCGTCCTTAACCTTGAATCTTTGATCTTAATGAAATTTTGATCGAGGCTGGAGTACCACACATTTTGGACTATGTTTATGGTTGCAGAGTTAAAGCAAGTCAAAGGTAAAATAGAAAACGTACCTCATTAAATATTTCATATTAATACAAATTAAAATGATTACATTGAAATTAATATAAAAAATTGAAATAGTAAAATTTGGAAATTTTTGTCAATGAACAATAGTCTTTAAGTAAATTCCATAATAAATATTTCCAAATATATTATCAAATACTATCAAATACTAAATTGAATGTAAAGTAGAAATCGTGAGTAACAAAAACGGAATGACGTTCACATCACATTCCTTTTGATACTTTATGCTTTGTTACACGTTGAATCGTTGCATACACCAGAAATGCAAACTTAATATTTCAATAACACATCCGCCGAAATGAAATCCTATTCACCTTTATTTCTTAGTAATACTACTCCGCACGATCAGTTACGACAACAATAATATCCGAAGTCCTCAAGGATTAAAATTAATACACCACGATTCAACGGTTCAATTACCGGCGCTCGGCGCAAGATTTTCACATTAGAACGAAAATCTTCTCTCATTCAGCAGCGAAAGTAATTGTTCCAGTCGAGGATGAGGCAGGAGTTCAATCTTTGAAATTCTTGAATGCCTCGGCGGGGATCAGTGTCAGTGAAGTACGAAAGGAACGTCGAGAGTGGAGTGAGGAGCGTTGGGGGGAGGAGGAGGGGGGACTTAAAACATTACGATGGTTTCGCGGTTCCCTTTAGTTTAGCGCATCTCCGCCGTCCCCTCTTCCAGCTTAGCACATTGCCAGGCTGCGTTCACCTACACATGAATATTCAGCTACGCTTTACATACATTGAATATGCATCGGAGTCCTTCCTTCCCTCTTAGGTCATTTACAAGATGCAGATACGCCAGGCTACCACCAGGAGTACTAACCATTCTAATAGAATAACTCCTGCTGTATGTTTTACAGAAAACTACCCGCCCTATCCTCCCCATCTCCCACGGCGCCCCTTCGCAGCCGTTTCTACCGGCGATCCCGTGGCGATGGCGGCGGAGCACCCTTCATGCCCAATTCCCGGTACGCGCACTCGGTTGCTACTTGCCATCGATTAAGTAATTATCGAGGTCTCGAGGTGAGAGCTGGCAAATTAGAGAATTGGCCCGGGAATATCAACCTCGAACTGCAATTCTATTCGCGGGCCTCTTCCGTTGTTCTTGTGATTAACGAGTGCCGGAATAACGGGGCGCCGCGATTAAACAAGCCGGACGCTTTTGTGTCGGCCCGCC